TGGGAGCTAAACCTCATTTTCCCTCAGGAACAACAGAGAAAAAAGCTCATTGCCATGAAATTGATTTCAAATCATAACAACCCTATTGGTCAGGGCAGACTTGCCCCCCATGGTTTTCCACTGCGATGCAGTTTAAGAGAAGGGAAAGTATCAGATTCTTCCATGGAGGCACTGTGGTTTCAAACTGCTGACGTTGCGGTTAGTGGACCACGGTATACCCCACTGCACAATCTGGGATCGATCGTAAAGGTACATTAAAATGTACAACGTTATTTCATTTGTCTATCCTTTCTTCCTGAATGGTTAAAAACAAAGCCGAACATGATGCCATCAAGCCGATTCTCCCTAACAGTAGAAGAGCAAGGAGCCACCACACTGTGACCAAGGGACAGGGAGTGGTGGCCGAGCAATGAGGGATGGTCCGCTCTGCACACACAGTAGAACTGACCCGCAGGGTTCCCACGGCTGCCGTCTTTACAGAGACAGATCACCACATCTTTCTCTTGCTGATGGGTTTCAAGTTCCAAAAACCCAAACCCACAGCCATGGTGTCAACACTGACTGATACTGACTCTATACCAGCAGTTCTCAACCTGTGGGTTGCGACCCCTTTAGGGATCGAACAACCCTTTCACGGGGGTCGCCCAATTCATAACAGTAGCAAACCTACAGCGATGAAGTAGCAGTGAAAATAATTTTATGGTTGAGGGTCACTACAACATGAGGAACTGTCTTAAAGGGTCGTGGCATTAGGAAGGTTGAGAACCACTGCTCTAAACAGTGTCTTTATACAGTGTTTCCTGAGGCTGTAAATATTCACCAGAGCAACCAAACCGAAGCAAACTCCCTTTCATGCAGACTCATAGTGATCCTGTACAATAGGATCCTTGAACTGCCCTGTGGGTTTCTGAGACTGTAACTTGTTATCGGAGTAGAAAGCTTCTTTTTTTTTTCCCCCCAGGGAGCAGCTGATGGTCTTAAACTACTGACCTCATGGTTAGTGGGCGAACATATAACTACTACCCCATCAGGGTTCCTCACAGGAGCAGCAAAGCCCACTAGATTCATGCGCTTCCCCCGTGACTTCCCCTGAAATGTATTGGTCTAGAAATGGCACTTGTTTCAAATTTAAACGGATTGCCATTCTCACACCGTTGTGGCCTGGCCCACGAAGATTCAAGCCATTGTATTGTTGTTGGATGCATCCTTAACTTGTAAAACCCAGAGACTGCCATCAATCACGCATCTGGCTATGTGCAGAACATGGGGCTGCAATGCAGTGAGCGCCACCTGCCGTGGTTCACCTCTCCAGCCACACTTGATTCTGAGGTGCCACGGTGAATCTTCCAGTCGATTCTTAGGCTGCTCTCCCTGCTCCAGAAGGAGTGAAATGAACATCTCTTGACTTATCTGATCTCGTTTCTTGAAGCCACTAAAAGTCTGAGCTACTGAAAATGAACCAGACATTAGGTCTTCTCTTTTAAGAAAAGCAAAAAACAAAGAGGATTTAGAGCCCTTAATTCCCATCTAGTTATTCACCTGTATCCATCTCAGTGTGTGCTGTGAACCATGTGACGAATGCATACTGTACATTCTCACTCAAGGTATCAACAGAATGGGCATCTCCTAGGATCAAATACAAATGGAAGGGTCTCTGCAAAATAGTTTCAAAAAAAAAAAGTAGACTAGAACATTAATTGACACCCTCTGGGTTATAGACTTTTTACAATGCTAGATTATACACACTTATAAACACATGGGGGGGCTTCAAAACTTCATGGAACAATTGCATTAGCATTCATTTCCATGATTTTTGAAGGATCTAGGTAGATATACATACATACCTACATTTGATACTTACAGATGTATGTTGCTATGATACTCAAAGCTCCTAGTACTTCAAACACTAATAGAATCTCCCATGGCTGGGAGGTCAGCTGAGCGTGCAGACTAAGGCAGTCTAGGGGGTTAAGGCCCAGCAATCTTCTTCCAAAAATTAGTCACTGACTTCCTATGGTTCACAACAGAATGTCGTCCAACTCTCTTGCTTTAAAGCCAGTGTCAGAAAGGAACAAACACTGAAACAGAACATCATGCTTGGGAGCCAGCAAAAGTGGCCTCTGGTGAGAAGGACTGGCGTAGTACTTGCTCCAGCATGCAGGGGCTGTGCGGCTGGCACCAGACAGGGCACCGTTTTGTTCTGGTGTCCGTGAATCAGCATCCACCCGTGGCAGCAGTAGGCCAATCAATACACAGTTTCAGAGTAAAATTGTTTCTGAGGTAGAAGATGTCTAACATGGTTATTGATTAAAAGTGCGACCTTTAAACATTGCCAAAGTGTTGTAAGGATGTCAGCTATACCTTTCACTAGTGATTTTCATGCGCTTGATGCAAAAAGGAATTGATTATATAGCTTCCCAAGCTGAAAGACCATGGTTCGAACCCAGCAGCCACTTCGAGGGCTAAAGATGAGTCAATCTGCTTTGGTGAAGGTCTGCAGCCTGGGAAAGCCTGTGGGGAAGACCTCCTGTGTCCTGCAGGGTCTGTGAGCTGGAACCCACTCGACAGCGGTGGGCGTGCACATGGTCATGGGGTACGTGGCCACTGCGATGCACTGGGGACAAACAGGAAGATTCTCTAAGTGGTTTTTGATGGAATATCTGGCCTGGCTCTCTGAAAGTTTACAGAAAAGATTCTGCCTTCTTCCTTGACTCAATTGTGCTAGTAGCTGAATTGGAACTTTTCTCCCCATCTTTTCCCTCTTACTGTGCTGCCTGAGCATTGAACCTTCCCCTTTACCTATGAATTCAAAGGAGACATATATATATATATATATATATATATATATATATTTTTTTTTTTTAATTAGGTGTCTTTGCCCATGATTTTGGGCTGTGTATCTTTAATCCAATTTGAAACAGGAAGTCTCCCTCTGTTGCAGGACCCTGCGTCCCTCAGAGCACAATAGTGTTAGCTTAGTGCCTACAGTCACATTTCTGTGACACTCTCTAGAAGCAGATCACTGAGGATGTAGGAGGAGGAACTGCTAAATGGCCTGGCAGGAATGTAAAACATTCCTTTTGTCAGCAGGTCTGTGGGCTTGTTATCTCATAGAAAACCCGGTTAGGAAACATGTTATAAAAACAAACAGGCCATAAAGGAAACAGAATGAAAACTCTGGAAATGTGTTTCATTTTAAAGTAAGTATCAGGACAAAGAGAGAGAGGAATTGGGAATTAAAATGTTGAATTGGAGAAATTATAGAAAATGCAAGAAAATTAGAGTGATAATTTCAACAGAGGAAAAAATTATGAGAAAGTTGCAGAAAATCGATCTGCATATGAAAACAAGTCTGGGCCCCAGGACGGTGTTCCTGCCAGGGCTACGACTGAGGCAGTCAGGGGTTGCAGACCCGCTGAGGAGAAGTGATTAGCACAACAAGAGGGACTAAAGAAGTTGGCCCTGAGTGAAACATTGTAGAGACACTTAAAGGATGAGTTTCCATCATGGTCGTGGTGTTGGGGGACAAGATTTTCTTCCTACGTGAAGGAGAAACTACTTAGGGTACTTGCCCAGGAGGCTGGTGTGCTTCTTCCATGTGGGCTTTGTTGCTTCTGAGCTAGATGGCCGCTTGTTCACCCTCAAGCCTTCAAGACCCCAGACGCTATATCTTTTGATGGACGGGCACCATCAGCTTTCTTCGCCACATTTGCTTAT